AAATGAGGAACTGGAGGGCGTTGAATGGCAAGAGATTTGGGAGGCCGCTGCGACTTCCTCTATATGTGTCTCTATGCAGGAACAGGCTTATAAGACTATGTTCAGGTGGTATGCTACCCCGGCGAAACTTTGTAGAATGAATCAAATTTCTACAGATTTGTATTGGAGACGATGTGGCCAAAAAGGGACCTATATACACATGTGGTGGGATTGTCCAGAGGCACAAAGATATTGGAAACAGGTCGGAGAATTATTGCGGGATATCGTTGATAGAGAGGTCAAGCTAGACCCCTGGGTATTCCTTCTGGCCAGATCTATGGATGACTGGTCCAGAATAGAACAGAATCTAATACACAAAGTGAACTTGGCTGCCAGGAGGGCCTTAGCTCAAGTATGGCTACAGAGAGAAACTCCTCCACTCAATATGGTGATACAAAAGATCAAAGATAAACTTATCATGGATAAGTTAACCGCTCGGGTCAGGGGTACTATTAAGAAATTTGAAAAGGTCTGGGGCCTGTGGATAGACAGCGGAGTGGGTGATTAGGCGATGGGTAACAAGCTACTGAGATTGACAAAACCACTCAATCTAATCTCCTATGGTGGGACTTTAAGGATCCCGCCGGGAGGTTTACAGGGTACAGCCTGCCCCATGGGCACTATGATACTCGCTAAAATATGCGGTTACACAGCGACTAGGCCACCTAGACTAGCTAGTACCATCATTGGAGATTCCCTGTAACACCCTCTCCCATCCCCGCCCTTTTCCTCCTTCCTTTTTCCTTTTTTTTCTTCTTTCTTCTTCTCTCTTTTTAACTCAAAGGTTTAACTTACACCTTTCCTATCTATTAATATCTTGACTGACATCTAAACCTCGGCCAAGCCGCTTGCTAAAGCCTTGTACTAGCTGTGATAAGACACAGGATGCAGGCAGGTTTGCGGCAAGCCAGGAGAGCGCTGTTCGGCAGGTTTGTTCGACTGGATCTCCCAAACAAACACTGCTTATGAGCCAGGGGACCCGTTCACCTTTTTATCCATTGACCTTTTTATTTGGTTAATAACTCGAACTAGACCAACCTTTGAAACTATGGAACTATTTAGGGCAAGCATCTCAAGAGCCATCGGTCAACCTTCACCCCAGTGGCGATTCGACTATGTTCATGGGATCTGAGTGCTTTTTGGATATGTTGGGCGCTCAGATCCAAGCTATCTGGGAATGTATAGACTACGGGGGTTCGGTTATGCGAAATATGACTTTATGTATTTTAAAGTGTTTTTGGAGTTTTGTGAAACAGTAAGTGTTCTCTGTACCTAGAGATAATTGAGTTTAATACAGTACTTAAAGGACCACTATAGTGCCAGGAAAACATACTCGTTTTCAGGGACTACCTCCCGCCGGGCTCTGGGGAGAGGAAGGGGTTAAACACTCACCTTTCTCCAGCGCTGGGCGGGGAGCTCTCCGGCTCTTGTCCTCCTCTTCGGCTGAATGCGCACGCTTGGCTTGCGCGTACCGCTAGGGAGCGGATGGAGAATGGGGTTTTGTATCGAAAGCTGTTCCCTCCTGCCACGGGGGTCCCTTGACTAAGGGGGACATTAGGGGTTCAGGGATGGTCGTGGGGAGCACATATCCAGGGCACATATCGGACAGGGCTCCCCGAGTCGGCGCTGCATGTTTCAGCGGTCAGGACACTCTCGGGACACGTATCGTCCCTGTGATAAGCTGGGTTGGTGGAGGTACGTTTTGCACTTTCATCAACGGTTGGCAGTGCGACCCTTCTTGGCCTGGGGCCGGATGGGTTTTGCCGCTGGTTTTCTTTGGGGCTCACCTGGCCCCTCAGCATAGCATGTTTTTCCTTAATCTCTGCAATCGGTCGGGATGGGGACCCTCAGTTTATGTGGGAGCTCCATCGGGTGATGTGGGTCCAGTTTACCAAGCACGCTTATAAGTTTACTTCCCAGTCGTTTAGGGTACCCCTGGAGTTCGCTGGGGTGCCCAAGGAGGAGGAGCAGGGTTAGTATCTCCAGATTACTTATTTGCTCAGTTGTCGTTTCCTTCCAGGGGCTAGGTTTGGGATGATGGCTCGGCACAGCGGGCTGCATGGGTGGGGTTGCAGGGCCTTGCTGACAAAGGTGGCTGTGGAATCAGTTTTACGGCTGCTGCCGGTATGCCCGTCGGGTTTATTGTTTCCAGGTTGTGTTCCCGACGGTCAGGATTGGGTGGTTCTGTGCCTTCATGTAGGTTGCTCCCGATGTCCTTTATGCGTAGGGCCGTCGGTGCAGCATGTCCACACTCTGCTGCTACAGTGTTTTTCCTGGGGTAGTTTTGAGTTTCGGAGTTCCGTGGCCCAGGCTATATCCGTAGGTTTTGGGGGGTTTTGGGCCAATTTGGGCTCTCAATGGTGTGCTGACTCTTGCCCATTACACTGGCAAGGATCGGTTTTCTGGCGGGCTTTGGGGTTCTTGGAGCTTCCCCTTTCTGGTGGCATGGTAGGCATGGGGTGCCCAGCTCTAGAACAGGTAGGTGGGTTTTCCTTTGGGACCATCGTGGGGCAGTGCGGGCTGTCTTGTCATGTAACAGTACACTTTACCCCAGGGTTACTCTGGTGGCAGCGCCTGGCTTGGCGCTGTTTGAATCTAGGGCGGCTGGTCTTAGGTTTTTGTGTCCGGGTATTCCCGATGTGGTGGCCGACGCTCTATCTTGGTCATTATTGGGCATACTTCGGTCAGAGGTGTCACGGGGTCAATGTTAGGGCAGTGGAGGTGGTCGCCTGGTCCAACGGTCTGATGAAGCTGGTCCGTGGGTCGCCCTATGAGGCGGCGTGGGGCCCACTCCAGTATGGTGGGAGTGATCGGGACATTTCCTTGTAGGTTCCGGGAGTGGACTGCTCATCTACATGTTTGGTACCGTCTGTTGAGGGCGCTAGGGGTGATTTCTGTGATTGGCAGGGCTCGGCTTCCTGTTCATGTTGCAGTTGTCGGCAAGTGGTGGGGTGTTTTGGTGGACGGACTTATTTCAGGTTTCGCCGCTCGACTGCTGTTGTCGTTGGGACGGGTAAGTCAGTTGCGGTGTGGCTGATGCGTCGATGGAATCTGTGCGATTCTTGGATGTTTCGGGGTCGACGTGCCCTGGCTTTTCCACTTTCTCCTAAGGCAGATGGAATGCACGGGGTGATGGTTGGGCTCCTAACACGATGTAACGGGTTCCCAGGATGGCCTGACAAATTCCGTTCTGATCGGAGGCGGTGCAGGTTTCCGTCATTTGCCTGAAAGTTGGTGGGTGTGTTCGAGGGGCATTTATTCTGGTTTGGGATGGCTACGGTCGCCGCCAGGCTTGGCGTGCCTGCGCCAATGGTTCAGGGGCTCGAATTTTGGGAGTCAGGGTGGTGGTTCCTTCAGGTTCACCCTGCTGGTCTCCGAATGGATTTCTCACCGCGGTTACGGCCCCCACTCCTCCCCCGGAAAGGGGGGTTCAGTGGTCTGGCACCAGTTACATGGTGGGGGTGTGGTCCTCCTCGTACGGGGTCGGCTGTCCCGCCTCTTGGACGTACCAGGGGGTTTTTGTCATCTCTGGGTGGAATGATATGGGTTCGGTGTTGTATGGGGTGCTCTTCAATCTGAGGGTGCTCTTGAATCTGGACATGTTACACATTCTGTTTCTTACCAGAGGTTCTCAGGGGCCGGGCTGAGGCTATCACCTGTTCCTGTTGGCAGTGCGCTCAGCAATGTGAGTGCCCTGGAGCGCTGCCGTCGGGAATCGGACGAGGTGGGTTTCTTGTTTTGGCTTGGGGGATTCCAGTTCACCTTGGGGTGTGGCCGGATGTGGCCTAGTTATCTCGAGGGCATGGGTGCGCTTGCTGGAGGTCGGATGAGGCCTATGTTGATGGTGCACTGAGGACGACTCCGGCTGGAGATGAAACGCAATTGCTGCTAGATCAAAGGATTGTATCTGGTATTTTTTCTTGTTTCCTCTGCAGTGTTTTATTTAGGCTTTGTGCCTAGTATATTTTACTATTTATACACTGTATATTGTCCCTGTTTTAATTGTTTATTTGTGCAATATATTTTGGATTCTGCACTTCGTATCCTGTGCTGCTCTCCTCAAGGATATTGTTTAGCCTTTTTAGGCACCCTCCTGCACATTATATAGAGCCTGGGACGGCTTTAAATCCTGTGAGTTTTACTCTACATAAGGAGTCTAACATTATATATATATATATATATATATATATATATATATATATTTTGCGCTATGTTGTGTTATTGGTGTTTTTTAGATCGATCACGAATGGTCATTTAATTTCCTGGTGCAGTATTTATTCTATGTTAATCTGGCACTGCTAGCAGTGGTGGAACAGGCCATGGCTGGTTGTGGTGGGGTCCCCCGCTGATTTTAGGTGTAAAACAGCGTGGTTGTGGCGGGGGTATGTCCTTGCCAATTGAGTTTGAGGGGTTACGTTTAAGTATATGGAATGAGATGAACAAGTTTTTAAGTTCTCAACCTCCCCTGCTTCAAAAGGTTAACATTAGGTTGCCTGAGGTGTCGTGCCCATCGAGCGTGGATAAGGTCGGCTGATGGCGGGCATTGGAAAGATATGATTTTTATGACGAGGGGGAGGTGAGAGGAAGTGGTGATTAGGAACCACTGTATGTTTATTGGCAAGGACGGTTGGGTCACTGTATAACACTATGTGTGGAGTTATATATGTTAATTTATGCTTATTTATGTCTAACGTTTTGATTACAGAAAAGAAGAGATTTAATAAATAAAGTTAAGGATGTGTTATGCAGTAATTTAGTTTGTGATAATAAATGCTGTGGCCTGTTCATCCATACTAAGTGGTCTGTCATTATTGGGGGGTTGAATGGGGTTAGTTTTGTTATAGGCTGCATCGCAATTCCCCACTACGTACATACAAGACACACGACTTCCTCTTTCTTTGCTGCTTACCAGCCAAGGCACAGGTCAGAGTATTTTGCTCCAAACTGTTTTACTGATATTGCAAATTGTCATTAGTTAAACATTTATTGCTTAACATTCAGTTTGCTCCAAACTGTTTTTATTAATATTGCTATGGTCACTGTAGTTAGACACCTTATGCTAGACATTCAGTTTTAATCCTAACTGCTTTTTCTGGATACCACTTTAATTAAACTTTATTAATTGACTTTCAGTTTGCTCCAACTGTTTTTATTAATATTGCTATGGTCACTTTAGTTAGATTTTTAATGCTAGACATTCAGTTTTTGCTCCAAACTGTTTCTGGATATGCATGGCTACTTTTGTTAAACTTTATTAGCTTGTCCTGCAATTTTGGCCTAAACTTTTTCATTATTTTGCACTTGCCTTCCATTTGGATTTGTATAGTGTGATATTCTCCCCCTGTTACCCTTCCCCTGAATTAACCCTGTATTTTCTGCTTTATTAGCCTGTTTTCTGTTGCTGGCACTTTTTTTTTTTCTATGCTTTACTCTAGTCTCGCACGGATCGCGGCGTTTTACCGCGAGCACGCTTTTTATTCATTGGTGCTGGGACTTCAGGGCAGGTCTCTGGGGGTTAGGGGTGTCTGGGGGACTCTTTTCCATGCCGGCAGACCGCGATCGTATCCTCGATCGTGGGCCGCACGGCACTTTTGCGCGCGAACGGCGGCCATCTTGAATCTCGCGGCACTCGCGAGATTCACGTCGGCCATGTCGTTTGGCCAGTTCGTGATTCCCACGAACTGGCGGCTAGTTCTGTACTGTTTCATATATTTTTTCCTGTGAAATAAAAGTTTTACAAGTACTTTTGAGCTCAATACTGTTCATGGGCATGTGGAATAAAGGTTTTATATGTACCTTTCCTGGAAGATTATGAATGGACTGTTCACTGCTGAGCTCTATACTGGCATATTTCATTGGCATGTGAAATAAAAGTTTTATATGTAACTCTGCATGAATATGTAGGACTGATCCCTGCTGTGTGCATCTGCTGACGGTTTGCTCTATTATGTTCTATACAATTGACATGCTGAATAACAGTTTTATTGTACATCTGGAGGATTATGAATGGACTGTCCCATGCTGTGGGCATATAGTGGATGCAGTACTCTATCTACTGGCAGGGAAATTAAATAGAGCTGATATCTTACTCAGCTCCCTACTCCCACTGGACCTCACAACCATTGGATACACTCCTTCTTTACAGGGATATACCTCCCAGGACACAGTAGTGGAGGCACATAACGGAGTGATTAACAGGGGTGACCCCCCTTACGCTGGGTGACCCCCAAGCGTGGCAGACACCTCTCCAAAGTGACATTGTGGTACAGGGGTGACCCCCCTTACGCTGGGTGACCCCCAAGCGAAGCTGGTTCCTGTCCTAGTGACATACATATACTGGGGTGATCCCCCTACGCTGGGTGAATCCCAAGCGAATATTATTCCGGTACTAGTGACATACATATACTGGGGGGAACCCCCATGCCCTAGGACGGGCTCATATCCACGGAGTACAATCTGTTACTGTATGCACAGACCGGGTCACACTGGATACATGTATATCGACAGAGCCAGGAAGGAGAGCTCACGGTGCTGCCAATTCTCCACAGTACTATATCCTATAAGGGTGACCCCTTGGATAATTTGGAGGCTACCATACCTCCCCATACACGGGCTACGTCCCGACATTACTGACCGCTCATCCCGGTCTTATTGAGGGTGACCCCCTCCTCAGACCACTCCCAGGAAATCTCTAAGTGGTACTGACTGAAACAATTCTGGGTGGCAATAAGTGTACTACCGTACCTGACACCTGTTCGGTACCCAATAGACCGAAAGAGTGTCCCAACATGCCAAAAGAGACATTCATACAGGGGTGACCCCCCTATGCTGGGTGAACCCCAAGCGAGTCTTACTCCGGTGCTGGTGGCATAGGTACAAAGGGGTGACCTCCTATCGGACGGGGTGACCCCCGTGCCCTTTTTAGGGCTTCTACCTTCAGAGTACGCTCTGTCATTGTATGCACAGACCAGGGCGCACTAGATGCATGTATTCTGGCACCTCTATGCTTCAACTTGGGTTCCGTACGACCTTCCCTTAACCGAGAAGGAGAACTCACAGTGCTGCCAAAACTCCACAATTCTAGACCATATAAGGATGAACCCCGTGGACTATACATATTGAGGCTTTCACGTCTCCCAGACTCGGGCTACGTCCCGACATTGTAGACCGCTCATCCCGGTCTTACTGAGGGTGTCCTCATTCTCAGACCACTCCCCGGATCCTGCGAAAATGATACTGATTGATCAAAATTCTGGGTGACCCCAGTTATACGCGGAGGCCCACTGAGTGGCAATAAGTGTACTGTTGTACGATCCTGTCTTCCACGGGTGTGAACCAACATGTCGGACTTACCTCAATATCCCCGACCGATTTTCAGGCGAGGATTAAGGCCGACATGACAGCTCCGGGGGAAGAAGTCCTCTCCAGTATGCTGGCTAACAACCCATCCGACAGAGCAGGTGCAACGGCAGCAACACCAATGGAAGATTGAGATACCGACGTTAGGTCGGACACCCATCATCAGGGGACGAGGACTTCATCCTTCCCCCCTTTCTCTGGAGATCATGAATGAATGGAGGGCAGAAGAGGTGAAAGTGACAAGACCCGCCTAGCAAGAAAGGTTTTTTCTTTGGCACACTGGACACTCCTGTTTTGACTCACGCACCATCCGACAACCAGGGTCATCCGAATGGGGTTAACCGGAGCACCGGGCACACTTTGCCCACTTCTGGCTTAGGAGGCCTATGAGAAAAAAAATCCGAGACAGGCTCAGAATGGAATGCCCACGCCCTCTATGTCCGAACAAGATAGTCCTCACTATGGAGCTCGTGGTGATATGTATGTCCCGATCAGGCCGGGGTCCATGTAAAGGTGTAGGAGGAGGACTCAAAACGAGTTAAGATGAAATACTGGATATGATCAGCCCGGGAAAAAATGCTATACTTTGCGGACCTGACCCCACACAAGACTCACCTCTAGAAGCTCACGATGTGAGGGAATGGGTGCAAAGGGCAATATGTAGGTTGGGGAACGCAAGGCAGACAGGTGCACAGAACGGCGCAAAGCAGCCGTATTAAAGATGAATTTCAAACTATTGAAGTTAGGGACGAAAGAGCGAGGACCTCAGGCGGACGGACTATCGTTTGGAGAACCATTTATCTCAGCAACGGTTTGGTAGTAAGGAAGAAGATAGGAGACTATCACCCAGTCATCAACCTACGCCAACTCAATGGTTTTGGGGCGTACCGACAACTCAAGAAGGAAGGTATCCATCTCTTAGTGGATCTACAAGGTTGGACTTGAAGGGCACTTACCTATAGGTTCACATGGTGCCTCATGAAGTTTCTGAAGTCGGTCATGGCGCACTGAAAAGCAAATGGTATCTGCTGTCGCATACCTAGACGACTTACCTTTTGCAAATCCAATTCATGACGAGATTTATGTTTACAGTTTCGGGAATTGTTGGGATTCATAGTGAACAGAGAGGAGTCGGTTCGATCCCAGTTCCGAGTGATTCAGTTCCTCTACTTCAGAATAGATTCCACCTAGAGCGGATTACACCTTCCCACATCATTGATAGCGACGATTCGTAAGGAAATTCGACGGGTACGGCGGAAACGCACCATAACCCTTTGACTATTTCCCAGGACTGCTTCACTACCAGGCCAGACAGTGGCTGAAAGCTCACTACCTGAGATCCGGACACACCTATGAAATTGGGATCAGAATAGCGAAGACTTCGATAGTACTCATTACTGCGGTAAAGGAGTCAAGCGTGACACCCAGAAGGGTTGTCCTTAATCAGGATCATCCTCTGCTCCTTCCATTTTAACTTGCCTTCGGGCGGATCCAAAAGGAGAACATCATCCATTGATAATGCAGGAGCATCTGGAGTTGGTAGACTGGTATGTCAAGGGACTATCGCAACCAACTAGAGACCTACTATGGGACTAATGGACACTAGGTATTCCCCGAAATAACTTATCCGCATGGAACGCCTGGAGTTCGCTGGTGTATGGGAAGGGACTGCGATCCCTTTATTACCCCTATCTCCACGATGCTGGATCTTTATCATACCTTCTCACTACAGGCCGATCGGAACTTTCCATTAACGGGCTTCCATTCCGCGATTTCGACGACGCATAGCACGATTCACGACACTCCGGTCAATCAAGAGCCTTTGATATGCCATTTTCTGTGGGGTATCAAACCGTCCAGAACCATGCGTCAAAGTATCACTGGTGTGGGACTTTGATTTGGTTCTTTTGGAGCTAGTCAGATATCACGGTCCTATCCCTCCGTTCTTTGTGCAGTTAAAGCGGTACTTTGTTACATGGAGATCACAACAACACTTAGAATGTCACATTCAGGACATCTGCTGGTCTTATACCAACCGTACAAGCCAGTTACCATGAACACTCTGTCTAGATGGTTTCATTGGTTGTTATCGCTAGCGAGGGTGGAGACGTGTTTGGGTACTCATTCGGTAAGAGGCGCGGCTGCTTCTCAGGCCTTCACGAGGGGGCCTCTATATTTTCAGCAACGAATTAGACACGGATAGACTACTTCCGTATATTTATTTTCGTCAACCACACACGCATCCTTCTCGCTCATACCACAGCTTTAAAAATGCAAAATATGAAGCCTCCTGTCGTGATAAAATTGTAGATTATGCTAATGTAGTGTACCTATAATCTTAATTTTAATAATGACAGGAGGCGAATATTTTCCCTCCCTGTTTCCCTCCCTATACTCTGGAAAATTTTTATATTCTGGTTTGTCATTTTCTCAGTGTAAATTATAAGGTTTTTGTAATTCAGTATATTTATGGGATGCTTATTGGGTTGACATGTGTTAGATCCGTGTTGATTATTAAGTATACTATGGTTTGTTTAATGTTTCAGTATATTAACTTAATATAAATATAGATACATATAGTACTGGATTTAATGTGGACAACAGTTGGTTTCCATCACCTTTCACGTATTTCTGTTCTTTTCAGCGTAATCATCATAGATGGATTCGACAAGATAAAGCTGGAAGGTTTCAAGTTTCGTTTCAAGTTATGTGCTACACTTTAATCAGGACTGTTATTTGAATTCCCTGACGTTATAGACTGTTTTTCGCATCAAAGAAAGAGGAAGTCATGTGTCTGTCAGGGCTTTATATATGGATGTGATGCCTGTTACTGATTGGTTTAAAGTTTATTGATTGACTTGTGCTGCTGGAGGCATAAAGTAAAGAAAGTTATGCAAAATATTCGCCTCCTGTCATTATTAAAATTAAGATTATAGGTACACTACGTTAGCATAATCTACAATTATGACTCTCACACTACTTATAAAAAAAGTGTGAAGAGAGCTACTTCAGGCTCCAAGGAAGTCATTGGTAATGAAAGGTCTGTGTAAAACATATTAACATAATGTGAATGAGAAGTATTTTGTGTGATGTAGGCTAGATGGTGTTTGTGACTGTTAAGACACTCCCGGCATAAATGAGTGAAACCGCCATTTAGTAGATCTCCCCCCCTTTAGAGAAACATGCACCGTTGCTGTAGACCGCCAAACTCCCGAACAGAGAATCATACAAACTCCTTCTCTCCTGGAACAGACAAAATAATACTCCAAAGTAGCAATCCCCCCAAACACGAGACCAAGCTCCATCTTAAAGGGTAAAACAGGAATCTGATTTAATGAGGGCTACCTGCCCGGTATTTATGCAGGTCTCCCACCTGGTGGACACTCCCCTAGCGGACCACATGGAAGACTGGGACAAGTATGATACATTAGCCAATCACAGTGGCTCAGACATAAACCCTCCCCTTGGTACAAGCAAACCCCTCCTCTTTATCCTGGAGATAATTGGGAAGAAATCCAATTATCTCCATGGATAGAGGCAAAACGCCATTGTTACGATTGCCCCCGGTCTAGCAGAGGGGTTGATCGCTTGGATGTCCTGGTTCCCGAAATCAGAGAGTCGAACGTGGTTCCCTTCGGCAGGAGCTGAAAGTGTAGAATATCCCAGTAGCAAAGAAAGCGTTAATATTCCCGGATCCCTACAACACGAGTCAAGGCTGCGAGTTGAGGGTCAAACACGAACTGGCTTTAATGGCACACAAGCATGGCAATTTATGCAAGTCCCCAGGTCCAGGGACAGCCCCCTGTGGACCTGATGGGATATAGGTACAGTACAAGTACATAACCAATCATAACACAGTGTATCATTCAAACTTGTACCCGCCCAGCTTGGAGATAATGAGGCCAACGGTTATACAATCTAATTATCTCCAAGCGCCCAAAACGACCATGCTTTATTATGAACCAGAAAACAACATAAAAATACATAACTCAGCCATTATATAGAGAATATAGTTCCTTCTACATATCATTCGGTAGCTCTCCGTTAGATGTATTGAGTGTGCGATCGGCGCTCTGTTCCCATGAACAGAGGACGAGATTTCCCCATATGAAAGTCTGTTCAGCTGTAAGTTTCTAGGCTCTCGATGGCGGCCATGTTTTTGGGTCCGTCAATGGCCAGCGGGACCTCGACCGTGAATGCATGGAACGGAGGCTGGATGTAAGATCATGCGAACCCCCGCTACCTGTCTGGTTGTCCCATCCGTTTGTGGTGCGAATGGAGCCCACCCCGGAGGGGCCCTTAACCTGCGGTTAACCACAAACCGCAATGCCTGAGGGCAGGTAGATAAGCGGCACCCTCGGCTCGCAGGGTGGCCGACCGTTCGGCTCTTTGCGGGGTGACGGGGTTAAGTGGTGGCACACGTCTAGAGCTGGGGGGTCGGTCGTTCGTACCGACGAATGAAGCTTTAAAACAGTTCGTATAGTCTGTTCGCCTGGGCTGCAGGCTGTTAAACA